AGTACCTGATGGCTGAAAGGGGAAGGTGATGCTGGCAGCACCCAAGCAGGGTCATCTGACAGGGGAGCAGAGAAACCAAACTGCTGAAACATCGATAAAACCCACCTCTGTCCCAGCTGTAAAACCATGTTTGCAGCAGACTCTGATACAGTGAAGCCTATGAAACTAGACGGGCACCGATCTTCTTAACGTCGTGCCTCTCAAATAAATCAACCGTAGCAAATTGCTTAATTTGCCATTGGGGGCAACACTGCTCAGTATGAGGCTCCTGGTACCATTTCTCTAGACTCAAGTCTTCCCATCATTTGTAGATGTCAGAAAAAAAAACCTTAGCAGCGTTTGGTGAAGCTGTCCAACAGTTCCAACTTCATGTGGTTAAACCTAGATCAAGCAAACCTGCTACATCTGGATGAAAAGCAAAAGCAAGCAAACAAAAAAATCCTGCCATTATGGTGAGGAAGAAAAACACTGGAAGTTTCTGCCCAACAATACCGTCTTATGATATCCGAAGTGCTGCCATCCCAATTGTAATTGCCTCAGCTCATTTTCTTGGGCATACAGAGCGCAACAAAAGAGCACAAGCTCTCAAACCTCTGAACATTTTACTTTGATAAAAGCAAACAAACTACTAGAGAGCTGGGCTGGAAACCACACGGGGAGGAGATGAAAAAGAATCCCGTCATAAATTAAGGGCAGAAGAAAAACAGCTGAAGCCACTCGGGAAAGGGCCGAAGACCTCATAGGATATCCCGTACAGCCCAACAACAGCAACCTAATTAAAAAAGCAGCTGGAAAGCACAAAATTATCCCAGGGAAAAGATGAGGAAATTGAAGTATTTTGAGACAGAGACCAAGAAATTGAGCAAGTAACCCTCTGAGCTGTTTTTGGGGAGACGCAGCTGGCCGAGGAGGCAGGTGGGCAGCTGGGACACAGCCTTCCCGTGAAACCTGGGCAAGTCATTTAGTGTCTCTGTTCCTCTGCCTCTAAGGCAATGAAAAAAAGAAAAAAAACCTCAAACAAACAGTGCCAGGGCAAGCTATGAAAAATCCCCTTCCTGCAGCCAACAGCCCTCACTCCCAGCAGAGCCCTACGCTTCCCTCTGTAACAGCGAATAAAACACCTCACAACTTGGTAGCCTTCGCCCTGCCGGCGTGGGCAGGGTGCTGGCGCTCCCCAAGGACCTTTTTTTGGGATGGGCTGAGTTGCGAACAGAGGCACAGTACGGAGAATTCAGATTCAATGTACACTGCTGAGCGCTCGGCGAGAAAAATACCACGATCCAGACATGCCCTTCTGCCCATCCATCAGGATCTCGGCCAAAGCTGTGCCTGACTCTGACTATTCAATTGAACAAGGCTAAACAGCTACTCAGAGACAAGCAGTCGGAGAATGTATCAGCAGCCAGGCTCACTTTTCAACATATTGACTTATCTTAGGAATTTGGGACTGAGGAGTCCATCTTGCACCAGCTCATGTTGCATCCCCGTGGGTGAAGGGCTGGAGCGGGGGCTGCAGAGACGTCAAACCTTCTCCCATCATCAGGTCACTCAAATCCTGCTGCACGGGCAGCAGCTCACACGTTAAGAGGTCTCGGGCTCAGTTTCCTGGAAAGCAGACAGAATTGTTCTTTAGGACTTTGATCAGACAAGCTGCCTTTTGTGCTCCACAAATTAGTGCCTTTTCTAGCACGTTGTGAGGGCTTTTTTGCTCGGGTACATACGGTTCATCCTAGTGCCCCAGCCAGCAAAACAGGGGAGTGAGGGAGGCCGGGAGCTTGCTCAGGGAATCCTCCAGGCCGTCTGCGTGCTGGGGAGATGGGATGGGCTCAGGTAGGGGAGGACAAGCACGAGCTACTGCTTCATGGCAGACTTGCCTCCTTCAGTCCCTCCTTACGTGACCTGCCCATCTTGTGCCAGCCGCCCGCCGTCAGCCCCATGCCAGGCAGGATGGATTACAGCCCCCAGCCCGGGAGCACCCCGGCACCGTGACAGCTCCTCGGCCCTTGTCTGCCCGTCCTGCTCTGCTCCTCGTACCGGGACAGACGGACGGAGCAAATCACCACTTTCCTACCTGGGCTGAGGTATTGCAGCACCTCACCTGACAAATAGGGCCATGACAAACTGCAGTGAAAACCCCAGTTTAGGCAAATTCCCATCTGTTTAGTTAAGATAATTCTAGTTTACTACTCTTTTTTTTTCTTTTTTTTTTTTTTTGGCAGTTGCGTGTGCGCAATTAACTGCAATCTTGGCTTTGAAAAAAAAAATAAAGCACCCTAATTAGCATGTTAAGCCTCCTCATTTCCCAATACTGTATAATGTTGTGAAAGCTAATCTATAATGTATTGGATGTTATGCAAATTCTCTGTACTCCATATGGGGTTTATAAAGGCATGCAAATTAAAAATAGTGTTTGGAATAGGACTGGGGGGAGGGTAGAAATTTGCACAATAAAATATGCAGATAGGAGAAAAGGTGTTTATAACCTTCTCCCTATTGTTCGTGTATTCTCAGCTGCACAGTGCTTTTCAAAGCGGAGAGATGTATTGCATAAAATCTCTCCAAATTGGATAGTTTTTAAATGAAATTTAAAATGAGAGCACTGTTCTCTAAGCAATAATCCACGCCACTCTCTCTGCTGGGGCTTGTTCTGGGTCGGTAAAGGCACTCCGCTTCCACTGACATGCACTGCAGTCGTACATGGCTTCTTGTAGTGTATTTGCCCGGTTGTCAACGGGGACCTCGTCTCAACACCCGCAGGAGGGTCCATGGGGGTGGCTTGGCCACGACCTTGTTGGTCCCTGTCAGCGTAAACCAACGGGTCAGGCGCGTTACCCGCAGCACCAGGACGTTTGCAGTGTGGGTGGAGTGTACTTTGATCCAGTTGATATTTTATAGCCCTACCTATAGGTGGATGCAGACGTAGCTGCGATACAGCTGCCTTTTTGCGATGCCACCGGCTCCTGGTGGCGGGGCT